CCCTAAAGTTCCCTATGTTTCACTATTCAGTCCTTCTCGCTGCCCCCTCCCCCTGTGAATGCTCCACTGTTCTGTTTACCATCTATTTTGTTTTGCCTTTTTCAGAGTGTTTCCTAAATGGAATTACTCAGCATATAGTTGTTTCAAACTAGCTTCTTTTATTAATATGCATTTAAAGTTCATCTATGTCTTTACATGGCTTGATAGTTCATTCCTTTTGATTGCTAAATACTATTGTATTCTATATATTGTATAGATACACTACAGTTTGTTTATTCATTTGTCTATTGAGGACATCTTGTTTGCTTCCAGTTTTGGGCAATAAATAAAGCTGTGATAAACATTTGCCTGCAGGTTTTTGTATGAAGGTGTCTTAAAATCAATTGGGTAAATAAGTAAACAGTACAATTTTTCATTGTATGATAAAACTATGTTTAACTTTTAAGAAACCACCAAACTGTATTCTAAGTACTGTACCATTTTGCATTTCCATTAGCAATGAATGAGCATTCTTGTTAGCATCTTCGCCAATAATTATTATTGTTATTCTTTAAGCCCCTTAATAGGTGGGTAGTGATTAAATTATTATTTTTTTGTTTAGTGATCATCCATATTGAATGGAAAAATACCACCCATCAAAACCATATGTAGAATTTATGACTGAATAGTTTTTATTGTTAGATACTTTTCTTTCCATAATACTTTTTCACCACCAAAACTTGGCATTTAGTACATATTTATACTAAGGATTATAAATATGGGGTAGTTTATTGGTTATTTAATTTTGGATTGAAGTAAATTGAGTTTTAATCTAGATTCTACCACTTGTCATCTTGAGACTGGGTAAATTACAATTCGCCTTGTAGTTTCCTCATCTTTAAAACAAGAGACAGCAATGGAACGCAGATTAGGTTATATGAACTTCATGAGCAACTGCATAGAAAGCATTTAATACAATGCCTGAAACACGGCCATTATATCATTATTATTGTTATTACTGTATTGCTGCTACTATTACTACTTGTATTAGTACTACTGCCGAAGGCTTTAGTTATTGCTTGAAAACTCTATACTTTCAATCCCTTACTTTTGAGCTGCACTGATCTTTTTTATCCCAAAATAAACACACGTAGCATGCTTTTTTTTTTTCCTACTCCGAAGAACATGGTGGAATAGATATTTGCAAAGGTAACCTAAGTGTTACAACTCATTGGCTCCATTATTTCTTGTGTTACTAATAAGCTCTCTCACATTTGCTCAGTGCTTTAGATTTTACATAGTGCCAGTATTACAGATATTAGCTCATTTGCTTCTTAAAACAGCTTTCTGAGGTAGGCAAGGCACGCTTACCAGCCCCAGATTAGGGGCAGGTGAGGTAACCTGTCCATAATTGCAGAGTAGATAAGGGCAGAGGTAGGGGTTGAATCCAGGTTTTCTGACTCCTGATTCAGGAAACTCGGCACAAAATGACTCTTCAGATAAGTATGCCTGAGACATTCATTAGTTCCCATTAGTTCTGTTCCATATGCACAGGTACATGGGTGGCAGGAATCTTTAGAGGGGCTCAGTTGCACTTTAAGGTTTTAAACCAGCAGTCATGTCTCGAATCCTCATATCCCCCTGGTGATCTTGATCTCTTGCATACAGTCTAGTAAAGCATAGATTACTCACATTCAGAGGTATAGCAGTCATATTTCTGCACTCTTTCTGGGATTTATTCCAGCCCCACTCCTACTTTCTATCTAATTCACAGGGCTAAACTCCTAGCAGCTTTGTTAGTATTGTGATTACAATGTCCTGGTTCTGTCTGATGGTCCAGGTGAACATTTCACCAGGAGATACCCTATCCTGGTAAAAAGACTTGAAGCCCAGAGACAGCAAATTAAGAAATACATGAGATAGACATTATCTGCCATAGGAAAAGAGAAGCACAGAGGTCTTTTATAGCAATAGAGGAAAGAAGTAGAAGCATTGCAGTGCAATAGGATGAAAAAGAGATACAAAGATAGAGATAGAAAGAATGTATGAAATCCAGCAGGATTCTGTTCCCACCTTCCACTCTCTTTCAGAGAGACCTTGCTTCATTGCTTTCCATGTGTTTGAGTCTCTTGATTACTTAAAATAAATTTCCTACTCCCACCCAAACAAGTTTAGGTGGGTGTCTGTTATTCTGACAAACAAAATTTGCATAGGGAGTGGAATTCTCTTGATGTAAAACTTAATTTTGAGCTGTAGCCAATGCAGCTTTCAACAGCAGCATTAACTTTCAAGTGTAATGGGCCACCACTGAGTAAGTTTGGATTCCACACAGCAAGGGGTGCTCAAAGTACTTAGTATTTCCACCTTGATGTGAACAACTCTTCAAAGCCTCCCAGGATCTCAGCACAAGGGGGTACTTATCAAATCAGCTCTTTCAGTCTTCTGCCCCAATCAGGATCTGTCCTTCCATCTTGCAACCGGTTTTTGCTTGAAATCTTCCATGGCTGGGAAACAAAGCATAAGAGTGTATGGCCTTTGTTCAAAATCTGCTCTGGAACTTTCTAGCCTTAAAATCTTGGACAAATTATTAAACCTCTGTGAGCCTTTCTTTCCTCATTTGCAAAATGGAGATTAAATTTTTTTAATTGATTTTTTAAAATTGGAGCCTTTATGAAATAAAGCATACAAAACACCTGCTACAGCACCTAGTCTGTAGTAGATACTCAATAATTTTATCCACTTTCAGACTTTCCAGGCAATTCATCAATCATTCTTTACACTGAAATGAGGATTCCCAACGGTGTAGTCTGTAGCATTCCTACTGTAAAATATAACCGGCAGTTATTGTGACAGTCTGAAAGCCTGAGATCAAATCCTGTATCTTTAGCTTTCTTATATGCCCTGTAATAAGGGGAACTGTGATAACTTCCACGAATTCCTTTAAAATGATCATTTGCATTAGTGGACATTTGAGCTCTCTTTGCAATATGGAATATTATGACTCTAATATTCACACTTTAGGTTTTGATTTTATTTATATTCAATAAATCATAATATTCTTCATTCTAAAGTCCTGTTGGCTGATGAACAGTAGGTACTTTTGCATTCTTTGTGTGCCTCCAAAAGAAGCCATTTCGAATTTTGGAAAGATGTCATTGCCAAGTATCCCTGCGTAGTCAGAAAAAAATCTGCCTCCATCCGAATCATTAATCTTAGTTGTTCCTTCCACTTGGTTAGTGGTCCTGGTCCCAGGATGGCGAGGTGAAGAGAAGCTGTCCTCTTTTCATGTCAAGTTTGCACTGAACTGTCTCAGTCATCTCTCCCTTTCTTTTCCTCCTCTAGTAATCCATGTTAGCTATTCAGCTGTTTTTCTTCATACCCAAGTCTCCAAAGTTTTGGATTTTGTGAAACAATAAAGGTGAACTCCATTGGAAAATAAGATTCTGTCTGATGGTGAAACATTGGGGCACTATATGGAAAAGCACATGTGCCTCAGATACAATGGGAAGCCATTTCAAACAAAGGTTATTGTGTAACCTTTATTTAAAATATAATTGAGTGTGAGCACATGTGTGTATAGCCATGGCATAATATATAAATTTTTGTTTTTTACTGTGCATTACACTCAAAATTTTTGATGAACCTCAGTTTAGGACAGGAACATATAGAGAAATGCTTCTCAAACTTAATGTGCTCATGAATCAATTAGGAATCTTGTTAAGATGAGGACTGTGATTCACTTGGTGTATGGTAGGACCTCAGATTCTGTTTCTGGCAAGCTCGCTTGTGATTCTGTTGCTGCTGGTCCACATGAGGAGATAGAGTGCTAGACAGACTATTTGAGTAGAAGACCTGAGGAAGACCCTGAAGTCATTTATTTGTGACTTCAAGAGTCTCCAAGGCATAAAAGGAAACATTTCCCTTTCCTTTTCTGGTTTTCTACTTTTGGTTAGTTGATAGAAGTCCAACCTACCTGCTTTCTCAGAAGGTGGTTGCTGTCCATCTCTCAGGTGCTGAATGTTGAAACCAAGGGACCGGATATGCTTCAGATCAGTTACTGTGAAAAGCTCCATTGCCGTCTCTGAGGATTAGCCCCAATTTCCCACTGTATCTGAGGCACATGTATGTGCCTTTCCATACAGTGCCCCATGCAGTTAACAGCAGAGTACTTCCTATAAAGCAGGCATTTCAGAACAAGGACAGAAGAGTTTCATTTATTTCAGCTTTACCTGCCAACACATTTCATCAGGCTCCCATCACCTGCATCCGGATAGCTGCCTTGACCTCCTAATGGTTTTCTCTGCCTGTAATTCTCGTCCTTTTTTTCTCTCCCCCTCCTTCATCTTTCCCTCTTCTAAGCCATCCCGTGCAGGGACATATTGATTATCTTAAAACAAAGCTTTCTTTATTTTCTTTTACTGCTTAAAACTCTTCAGTGGCTCCCCATCTCTGCTCTGCTCCTGCCAGACTTGTTTGCTGCTCCTATGATATGTCATTCTTCATCTCTCATTTTGACTTTTCTTCTTCCCCTTGGTTGATCTCACTTTTCCAGATATCTGAATCCTGCCTACTCTTTAGGATTTAGCTTAAATCTCACTTCCTTCATGAAGTCTTTTGTGGAAAACCCTTTACCTGATGGCCCACCCCAATAATGGTGAGCATAATTTGTATACTGGGGTGTGGCAGGAAAAAAGCACAGGATCAGCAATGGGAGACCAGGCTTACCCAAACTGTATGTGTTTCACCAATGTGGATGTGTGTGACCTTCTTCTCTGGGGTTCCATTTCCCCATTAAGATAATGAGAAGATTGTAGAAGAGATCTCTTAGTGAATGCCTATGGTGCTCATGGTAAGTTTTACTAGCCTTTAAGTATTCCTTAGAGATTTCACTTTCTGTTATTAAGAGATTTTAAAAAATTTTAATCATGTTTCTTGTTAGTATTGAATTATTAGTCACCTTTCGAAGTGTCTAATTTTAAAATTCTCACAGATATTCGTTTTGTCTTTCTTATCTTTATCAGGAAAGAGCTTCATTTTGTGGTCGAAGCAACAAGGCCTAGGGACGGCCTGCCTAAAGGCACATAGAGAATAGAATACCTTACAACTCTCAACCAGGAAGGGCCTGATGGTCCAGGACAGCACCGGGCTTCGCTCAAAGTGAGTGCTCACTAATTATTTGTCAATTGATTGGAGGTTGTCAGGCGCATCCTGCAAGACAACTCATTTCTCCCTGGAAGGAGGAGCTCCTGGAGTCTGTTGGTTAACAGGAAAAGTGCTTACTCTAGGAGGAAGGCGGCAAAGCTGGAAGAAGCTCTCGCTGGGAGCCCGCATACTCTCTCACGGGTGTTTCTGAACCCCATTCTTTGCACGGAGAAGTGTGGGGGTGCAAGGGTACTTGGAACCTGCCCCTTTGGCGGAGACATGTAGCCACCTCCAGCCGCTGCTCGGGGCTGATCCTGCGGAGTGGAGCGCCCCCCCAACCCCCCCTCGCCTGCCACCCTGCATCGCTCAGGCACCCTCTCCTCTGCAAAGGCAGTGGAAGCTGGGGGAGCCTTGCATACTGGTCTTCCTGGAGCTGCAGACGAGGAGCCCCACGCCCTCGGGAGCCTCTCAGCGGCTTCCCCTCATCCGCACGGCTGTGCGGGCTCTCCCAGCCACCCCCAGCTCGCCCTCAATCCCTCCCTCCAGCCCAGCCGGCCGGAGCGCGCACACCGGGGCTCCAGCACGTGGGCGCGCGGGAGGCGGCGGCCGCTGCTGCCGCTGCCGGAGCCCAAGCCCCAGCCTGCGAGATCGCCCTCCATGCTGCGGGCTCTGCAGCCGCCTTCTGCTCAGCCTCTGGCCCAAGCCCAGCGGGGCGAGCCGGCGAAGCAGCGGAGGGGAGGGGGACACAGTCAGGAGGAGGGGCACGGCGTGCTCGGGCAAGCTGGGCTCTGAGCAAGGGGCGCCCGCAGCCGGGAGGAGGCAGCCCAGCTCTCTCGCTCAGTCTCTGCTCCAGCCACTGCTGAGGGTTCCAGGCAGTGCGATGCCTCTCCTCTCCTAGGCGGCAGCCAGCGGAGGCTTCCCGTAGCTGTTCGGCCCACTCCAGCCCCTATTCCACGGGTGAGTCTCTTGTCTATCCCGACGCGCCCAGCCACTGGAGCCTGAGCGAGCGCAAAGTCCGAAGCCCGCCCCCAGCGCCACCAACTTCCCTGGGAGCCCCTCTCCCAGCAGCAGCCTGCGCCAGCCTTGGGAGCGATGCGCCCCCAGCCGGGCGGTGCTCCCTCTGCCAACTCGCCACCCATGGGATCGACTGCCCTGGGCTGCCCTGCTTGGAGCGTGTAGCCTTAGCCGCGTGGCTGGAAAGAGGAGCAAGACACCCAAGGCGTTTCGTAGATCCCTCGTGCGTCAGTCTGCTGGGGTCCCCTGCGGGGGCGGCATCAATACCCAAGGGTGAGTAGCCCCATCGTGTAGGCACCCTTTACCTCCAGGTGGGAGCTTGTAGTGATGGCAGGGAGAAACGAGAAAGTTGAGGTCCTTGAACCTATCCTGAGATTTGGCAGCACAACGCAACATTTGTTCCCTTCGGGGCTTCCTTGTATGCTTGCATTCCAAACCAAGGAGACCCTTCCGCTTCCCAAGGAGAAACGGGGCTCCCTAGAGCAGAGCACTGACTGTTCCCCACTAACATGCCATTTGGGGCTCTCAGCCACCCGCGCGTTAAGCAGGCACCCAGCGTAAGTGCTTGGAGATCCGGAGCCACCTGGGCGCGCTCGGAGATCATGGGCAGCCCCGGATCCCTAGGGGAGGCTAAGCTCTCTTCATTAAAGAGTAGTAACAGCAGAAATATTAAGGAAGTGTGTATGTGCGTGACTGTGAGCAGGAAAAGTAGCCACAGGAGGAGATGCGAGTGACATTTATCTGTCGCTGATGGATTGGGTGCCCTGTGTGCCCAGCTCGGTGGTGCAGGTTTGGGGGCACATGATCTAGGGTGGACAGATAGAGTCCAACAGGTGGCCTGCTTGGGCTTCCTGTGGTCGTCACCGGCACCAGGAGGGCAATGGCTCCCTCCCTGAGCCCAGGCTGCTGCTGCCCCTTCTAAGGGTGCATCTGAACGAGGGTAGGGAAATGCACTCTCTGCTCTCAGGCCTGATTTGGGTGAGTGTGTGAGGCATCCAAATGCCTCCTGTCGCTAAACAGCGGCCTCATTGTATGTCTGACTGAGGTTTCAACTCGCAGGCAACTGAGGGGCTATTCAGCTGGGGCAATGCGAACTTGGCCGGTCCTCAGATGCCAGCCCCAGCCTTCTTCCTAGTCCCTGGCGATGGGCATGCCAGCTCCCTGGGCTGGGCTTCCAGCCAGACCTCAGCATTTCACCCCTCCGTACTCCACCAAGAGGAGGAAGAGTTGCTGGGGCATCAGGAGCTGTGGTCCAAGTTTATTCTTTACCTGCCTTTTGCACCTTTATCCTGAGACTCAGATGGAGGGGTGTGTGTGTGCATGCGGTGTGCACATTGAGTGTGGGGACAAGTTGAGTTTGAGAGCTGGGCAAAAAGAGACCAGAGAGAAGACAAAGTTTTGCACCTGCACACAGAGATTCGAATTGGGAGAGGGTGTGGCTGCACTTAGAAAAAGTTTCTTCTGAATGCACCATCCTTTGTTGATTTTGAGCGTGCGAAATACTCTGGGCACTGTAAGCAGTGGCACACCAAAGTAGCATCTTCCAAGTCTGCTGCGTAACCTCTCCATCCCTCAGTTTGCCCCTCTGTTCTGGGGACAGGTGTCCCTGCTCGTGGCAGAAACTCTTTTATCTCTATAAAGGAGGTACTTAGAGATGGGTTTGGCATGAGAATATGGAGGAACAGCTGAAGATGTGTGTGTTGGGGGTGAAGGGGAATTATCTGGAGGCTACATGTATAGAAGACATTCAGTTATTACTTACACTTGGCGTTTGAGATGGTTTATTGGCTTTCACAACACTGATGGAGATTTTAAGATGCTAAAGCTTTCCTTTGGTGCCACCAATACAGTGCCTCCCCATGGTGCAGGAAGCTTTTTGTACTATGGAAATGAAGTGATGGACACTCCAAAATGCCAAAGAACCCTTCACTGCTTGTGCTTCGCCTCCAAGGGAGGCTCTGAACTATAGCTGTTTGGCCACACTGTTTCCACTGTGTACTTGCTGCTTTGTCTTTTCAGTCCCAATTTGGTTTCCCCACAAGGGACCTTTATCACTAAAGTCCTCTGACAGCAGATCTCCAAGGACATGTAAGTAGAGTGAGTCTCTTGATTTGTAGAGGGCACTGGCTGATTTAGCATGGGACACACACATGCCTGGCCAGAAGCATGCCCCCTAGAGGTTACTTGCTGGGAGGGGATCCAGGAGATGGGGCATCAAGAGGAGGAATGGGCAGTGAGGTATTGTGGGTGACAGAGAGACAGAAAGATAGTCCAGAGTGAGACAAAGAAGAAAAGCAGGAGAGTGGAATGAGCACTAGAAAGACAGAGAGACACACACACATAGACAGTCAGAACATGAGGGGAACCAGAGAGAGACACACATACACACAGAAGCAAAGGGACAGAGGAAGAGAAAAATGAGAAAAGGAAAGATGTAGAGTAGTGGGGCAAAGAATAAGAGAAGACATGAGAAAGAGAAGTGGAAGGGAGGGAAGAGAAATCTGAAGAAGAGTGTGAGAGACAAAAGAATAAAGGGAAAAGAATGGGTGCAAGGGTGGGGAAGTCGGTGGGGAGGAGAAAAAGGGCGGGAGATCAGAGGAGGCAGAGGAAGCGGAGTGGCGCTTGCTTTGAGTATCTGGTTTTTGTAAAGCACACTCCCATTCTAAGGAAGCTGGTATAATCCACATCCTTAAGTAGGTAGCCCCCTGGTTAGTGTTTGTTTCTCTGAGAAGTCGTGAATTTGCAGAAATTGGACACCCGCTTGGAACTCAGCTGCATTGGAGATGACAGGGATATAAGTTTAGGTTCGTGGTAAATGCACAGATGCAAAAATTTATTTGCCTTCTGTTTTTTTGTTTTTTCTCCCTTTGTAAAACACAGGACTAGAGAATCGTGAGGAGGGTTGTTGCATTAATAGTACTTGTCGGTGATTCTCTAACCCCTGTTTGTGGAAGTCCCTCCTGGGTGGGACCCCCCTGGGAGTCTGATCCAATTAACACAAGAATGTGCTACTTTATCAATGTTCCAGTAGGTTCTAAAGTGGGTCCTCCTTGAACCATACTTGGGTAAACATGGAACAGACGGTATGACCCCCTTCTCTAATTTGTTTCCATATTTCTTCCTAAGAGATGCAGTTTAACACTTCCACTCGTATCCCATCCTCCCCAGAAAAGCTCATTTCTTGTGAATTTCTCTTGGTAAAAGGACAAGCCCAGGGATTGCTCAGCCAGGGTTACCTTTCCATGAACCTCATTAATCACAGTAGCTCCAGAGGACAGCAGACAGCTCTTCTGGCCGACCTTGTCAGAGGTGTCCACACCTAACAGGTACTGAGCACTCAGCAGGGTGTCATCCTGGGCTTTCTTTATTCCTGGACCCGTTTAACACTAACACACACAAACCACTCTGCCATAGGCACAGGTTATCATCATCTGCATTTTATACTTGAGAAAACCGAGACCTAGAGCAATGATGATATTTGTCCCAGAGAAATGATATTAGTTGCCTAAGGTCCAGCAACTGGAAAGCAGAGTGCTGAAATTGGAAGCCAGGTTTGGTTGTCCTCAGGGTGTAAGGTCCTATTGACATACCATGCTAGATCCTGATCCTAACACACCATATTAGACCGATGGAGCCAAACATCCGTGGGGATCTTTTGCAAGCACTCTCGCCCCACTTTATCAACTGAAGAAAATGAGAAACAGCTGAAGAAACCAAGAAGTCCTTACTGGAGATCCTAAACACAGTTGGTGCCAGAACTGAGACCAGTGATGACCTGATATCCCGAGTCTCAGTCTGGCCTTCTCCCCACTGTTTATGATGTCTGGGTGCTCGTCAAGGTCACACTCATGAGCATCTTAGTCAAAATCTAAGTTCCTGGACCTTACTAAAGGCTTACTGAATCTTGGGGCAAAGAGCCCAGAAATCTGTATTTTTAGTCCATGCCCCAAATCTGTATCTGCACATTACCATTTGCCCCAGTTATTCTGTAGTTCCTTGCATCTGGTGCTATGGATCCCTTTCAGACAGCTTCAAGAGAATAACTCTAAGCCCCTCCCGCTTCCAGGGAAATAAACACACAGAAAGTAGTACACTCTATGCTGCAGCCCACGCTGCTGTAGCATGAGTAAGGATACAAGCTGGTCAACTTAGAGGCAACTTTGAAAGCTCTTTGAGAGGTGTAGTAATCACATTGATGTTTGTTATACTTGGTTTTTCTTGTGCCAAGTCAGACAGCATTTAAAGAAACATCAAATGTTCCTTCAAATGCATCATTGTCGGTATTCGTACTAATACTTGACACAAAGTGACACCGTGAGCCAGACCAATGTGCTGCCATGTCAAAAGTGCCAAGTTCTGTCTCCCAATACAGTGGATCTAGCTGTGGTTTAAGAAAGACCCCTCTCTTCCCCTTCATTCTAATGCTTTGAGTCCCTCACAATATGTCAGAGCCTCCTTCTGCAGGTAAAAAAGAGCCATCACATACACTTATCTCTTCTGGCCCACTTAAATTGTTTTCTCAGTGACCTCAACATCTTTTCCCTTCTATTTCATTGAATAGTGGCCAAGGGTTCCAGACGTCGTGTCCAGCAAACTGTTTTGTCATCTTTCCCTTTTCAGATCCAAATTTATTTTCTGAATCTGTTGCTTTTAACCCTGACCTCTTATTCAAAGATGGTAATTGAGCCTTAGGTAGCTTTGATAAGCAACCACGATAACAAGTGTTTTAAATAATGACAGCCATTTGTGACTAGATCGCAAACCAAGGAATAACATTCATTTACAATGTCTGCATCTTTAATGGGCTGGGAATGTTTTGCCATTTCAGTGGAGCAAATCTACTTTGCTGGCACAGCCAGCAGTGGAGAAGTGGTTAAGACTCTGAATGCAGACAGCTCGGGGTCAATGCCTACCTCCACCTTGCTGGCTCTCATAACCTTGGTCTGGTTATCGAATGTCCTCAAGCCTCCATTTCTTCATGTGGACGTTCATGGTAGTAACAGGATGCCCCTTCTGTGTGTGCTGCCAGGACACTTTCTGGCCAGTGACCAAAGTCCTGAGTAGAGCCTTTAGCATGTGGTAAGATCTCACCCATTTAGTAGTATTTGTGAAACATTCATCATGTGCTAGGCTCCATTTAAACCAGGATAAAACTGACATCTTGGAAGTTAGTAAGTTAAACAACTTTTCCAGGTCACCCAGATCCTAAGTAACAGACTGAGACTTGAAATTCATATCCGTCCTTTTCAAACCGCGCCCCTCCCCCGACTCTT